GAATTCTGTAAAGTTTGAGTCCAACCGGGTACTTTGGCCCCCTGGGTAGTGTGCGCCTTTTGTCGCTTCACATTCAGACCTCATTTTGCTCTTTATATTTGCACTTGATGATATTTGTAAGAGATGCATTTCTCTTATTTTTTGTTTGCTTACGCTTATGGTTTAGCTTACATAGCACCGACAATTTTTCCATTATTGATGTTTGTCGTTTCTATTTATTCGTAGTCGAAAATAAAAAATCATATGACACAACTGAGAACTGACAAACAGTCAGTCGTATTAGATGAATTACATATCATAGACCGTACCGTTGCACTGGGCCATGCAAACACAAAAGAATAATCCTTACTGCATACGATATGCAACGATGAAAGATGAACGATGATTGTAGGCGAGTGTCTACAGTACACATGCCATGAAATCAAACAATGGAGTACGCGCGAAAGCAAAAGATATAGCCATTGGCATACGATGCAATGCTACTAAATGCACGTGTGGTTTATGTAAAATGATATTTGATTGACACTGCATTTTGATACACAGAGAGTGTCTCTAGAAGAGAATAGACTAAGGTTCAACTCAAAATGACACGAATGACGATGTTGACGGCTACAAAGCGTCAACAAATCGACAACAGCAGCATACATCCAGTAAGAGAGCTTAAAGTCAAACATCATGTAACAACAACAGCGGAAATGCCACAAACCAATATACAAGCACAAGAGAGATAGAGAGATAGAGCATGAAGTGTGGCAAGCAACGAAAACTTGTGTAGTCATCAGCAATTGTTTACTTTGGCAACGAAACAAATTTAATGTGCATACAAACTTTAATGATGGCGATTTTCTCACATAACTTGACGTTTGCATTGCGTTTTTCAACAACTACCGTATTCATTTTGTATTTGAACAAGACCATTCGTATTTTGTTGACGTTATTGTTTTTCGTTCTATTTTTGTTGATTTCATTCGTTAAGCGTGAGATTTTCCTCTTATTGTTCTATTGTAGACATGAGAAATCCTCGCCAAATTTTGAATGTAAAATATTTGCCACTGAAAATGACGATTAGCCAAGATACATTGCACAGGGAAATGATGAAATTTGAGAGATTTCCGCATTATACAAACATCAATTGCAGCAATTTCCAGTTTTTATTAAAATTCTAGAAGTAAGCATAAGAGTACCGCACGTATAATCTTTGATGACTCAAATCTTAAAAATTTTCTACATGGAATAATTAATCCGCAGTTTTGGCTGTATACATTTTAAAAGTGAATTCATCATTGTTTTCAGTGAAATTCATTATTAGTTTCTGTTTCATCAGTTTTATAATGTTTTTTCTAACCTTTTCGTGTATAAGACTATTTGCTAGTCATAGAATCTTGGATAAAATGTAACAAGACGTCAAATTGTTTTACATGTACATAATTTACATTATATGATGTTCAGTAATAAAGAAGAATGTAATATGAAGAACATCGAAATTCTCGTTTCGATTCAAGAAAAAAGCTATTTCGTGGTCATTTTAGACACTGGACTTGATGATGATGAACAGTTTTGTTGTTAGTTAGTAAGTCTCCAAAATTTTGAATTAAATCGATTTCGTTCCTTTATTCTACATTCGAAAACCGCAAAATCGTTTTGTAAAATGTGTCAATATTTTCATATTTTCTGCTTGTGTAATGCTCCATTTACATCATTTTTATGATGGTGAGATCATTTCACATTGTAAAATTCACAAAAATTTGTTATCGCATCTAAAATTCAAAAAAATATTACAACAGGTGGTTTTCGCAATTCATTGTTTGAAATTTTAAATGTTACATTCAATATTTGCTAATTCATTATAATTTTTTCGGCGATGACGCAAATGAAAACTGTAACACGTTTTCAAACACAAGACAAAACGCTTTAATGGACGTAAAACATAATATAATAACATTGAGGAATTAAATTAAAGAAATTCACCGTTTTTCATTTGCAAGAAACTATTTGGTTGCGTTCGTACAATAGAAATAATTAATTAGAGAAATTAAATAATTAAAATTCAAGGCGATAAAAATCTTGACTGCGAATTTGAAAACAAAGAGAAAAATCATAACGTTGATTAATTTAAGGATAAAACTAGTTCAAATTGGGTTATTAAAATATAATAAAATTGGATGCGAAACAGCAAAAACAAGTGACTAGAACCTCGCTCAAATTGAAAAACAAAGTTTCATTCGGTTCTCGAAAGTGCCTCACAAATAATATAACTTACTTATTCAAAAATGAAATTTCAAATTTCAATAATTTTATAACAAATACAAAATTTTCAAAGACCAGTGTCAAATCTTGTTAAATGTAAATGTGGCGCTATGAATAGTGTATTTCAAAATTATAAATTGGGCAAAGGTCTTTTGTAATTTATTTGTATAGTCAGTTTATATTGAAATAAAAATGTGCATCTTCATTTGTGTGAGCCAAAAACTAGGCAAACAGAAGCGTTCAGCAATTTTAATATTCGGTAAGAAAGCATCAAAAGTGTTATGTTTTTCATACTGTTGCCGTACAAGGAATTGAAGAGTGAACTCTGGTGGTGATTTACTAAATTACCACCATTACAATGTGTGGCATGGTCATTTTTGTATGTATTGTATTTGCTTTGCTGAGCAATATTACTATCGCTCAACGCAGTGTTGGTAGTAATACTGTACAGCGCTGTCACAGCAAAGCAAATACAATACATACAAAAATCACCATGCCGCACATTGTAATGGTGGTAATTTAGTAAATTACTACCAGAGTTCACAAATATTACAATTGACGCCTTCTGTGAGTGCGTTCAAATTATTTTTCAAATTGAAATATTCGGGAACTTTTTACCCGCGCCATCTCTATTTATGTCAGTGAACTTGATTTAGATCAGTCGTATTGAAACGAAAAAGAGGAGAGAAAACAACAACACTAGTATGGCCACACAGAGCTGTACATCTGTGCTGATGCATACATACATACACATATACGCTCTCTTCATTCTTTCATTCCATTGTTATACGTATCTCACTGAACAACAGATCTATGTAGCCACTCTTGTGGAAAATTACTGACAGACTAGTCAGTTAACCAATTTGGGACGTTTTTGGTTAAAGCCAACTGAAAATGAGTTGTTTTAAGTTGATTTGTCTGATTTTTCAGTCAATTCTAGTAAAGAAAAATATAACTTAATTCAATTTCAATCGCAGTTGAGTATAAACAAAAACGTCCCAAATTAGTCATCCGATTCAAATGAGATACATAGATAACTAAAGTCAACTGGGTAGACGACTTCAGTTAACAAAATTGAATTTCAGTCGATTTCAGCTAACCAGTCAATCAGTCACTTTTTTTCCACACGGGCATGCTATTGTTGTTGTTGTTTTTTCTCTTTTTCGATTTAATGCAGTGCAACAAAATTGAGTTCAACTATGGAAAACAAGATGGCATAAATGAGGGGATTACGCATTCTGTTTATGAAGAGTCTTCATAGGCTTCACCGGTTGGATATGAATTATAATCAAAAACATCAAGCAACTAAATAATAAAAAATGAATATTAAAAATGTATAAATGTATTAGGTATATTATGATAAACAGTGTATGAAAGTGATAATATTGCTCTTGAGATCTCACTATTATTCTTTTTTTCTTGTTTTGTTTTAAGAAATGTATGCGCAAAGAATTGTTTGCAAGTCTTTTGCTTCTGTTTTCAATCGTTGCCACTACATTTTATTTGTTTTGGAACAATTTCTCTAAATTGTGTTGTTTTCATCAAGCGACTTACGCATGTTACCAAAATACCGGTGTAAATCATACTCTTTTAACTCATTTTGAGGTGTAGACGTTTTACTAACTCCGAACATCAGAGTAACCTTACTCAAATATTTTTCACTGTGTATAATGCCCATTGTTTTTGATTGATCATAAAGATTTTTAAAAAAAGTAGAAATAATACAGCTCCTTTTGAACTTAAATACAGTAGTATATAAAAATACCAATCCTCATCTCAGCAATGAATGAAAAATGGTAATTTTTTGAAATATGCCAAAGGTTGACCATTTACAAAAAAGTCTCATCTACCATAAGTTCTCTGAAAAAATGAGATAGATCCAAAGCTTAGACACCAACTTAAAATTGGTCAAACTAGAGAATACTACAACTTTTATCATATGCATGTTGTATAAGAAGAGCTGTTTTACTAGAGATTACTAGAAAAGCATTAACATCATCCATGTAAAATGCATTAGAATACTAAAAAATATTAGAAGATACATTCGAATCAATCATTTACAGCTAATTTCATTATGCAATCTTAATTTTTGTCGCAAACAGCAATCATCTCAACAACACTTTGGCATTTGAACAATTGAGTTTATCACAATAAAATATGCAAGAATCCAAAAGCGTTATTGCGTCAAGTGGAATTGTATGAAATGTTTGACTGTTGAAATGTAAATATTTTTTGCCTTATTATTTTTTTTTTACCGAGGAAACAATACGTAAACTAGATGTGGCAAAAAACGATTTTTCTTCAAAGTCATTAATTACAGCCAATTTATAATGCAACTAATTTGAAGACGATCATTTCCAATTCAATATACACATTGCATATTAATTGCAAAAACACCTTAGTTTTAACAAAACAAATGTTATTTATGTAATTTAGTAATATAAATTGATATACTTCTCAAGCATACCGTACAATTGAACGCATATAACCTCTTGATTGTACTTGGAATTTCGACAAGCAGACTGAACCAGATGCTTACTTAATTCGTTTTATTATTCGTTATAAATAATATAATAGGTATATTATATTTGTTATTCATTGAATGTGTTTTCGATTAAAAATTCATTTCATATACGTTTTACGTCAATATAAAAAATGAAATGAATAAATATTATTATGTATAATAGAATTTTCTAAACAACGCCATAAATATTCAAATTGTTGCAGCAAATCGTGTATATAAGACCCATTAATTGTGGCAAAAGACACATTTCATTTCACGTCTTCCCTTGTCAAAATCAAGAAAAATAAAATTACAATGAAACTGTTCGCAGTTGTGTTCTGTATTGCCATAATGGTAATCACAATTTCAATATTGTTTAATTTGTATTTCTCTTTATCCACATTTTAGTGCATATTTTTCAGAATGAATAAGAAAATTTAATTCAAATTTACTAATTTCTTCTTTTTGTTTTCAGGTGAATGCCCTGAGCGCCGGTAAATTGAGCAAAGAAGAAAAAGCGGAGCAAAAAGCGCAGAAAAAAGCTGATGCTGAAGAGAGAAAAGCTCTAATTGCATCAAAAAAAGTCCAGGTAGAAGTGAATCTTATTAACCAAAGATTGGAAATGATGCAGGAAACGGTTGACAATACATGGACTATGGCTCCATATATTCCAGTCGAAGATCTAAATGAACTCAGAGCATTGTCAGCTGAAGAGAAAAAACATCAAGATGGTTTCCAAACTATCTTGGATGAAGTGCTTTCAAAAATGGAAGAAGTTGTAGGCGTACAAGAGGGCTTTGAAAACGATCTAAAAGAAGCATACGCCAGTCACCGTGGCGAAAGAGGTGATGAGGAAAGTATTTTGACAGCCATTCAAGATGCTGTTAATAACGCTGATCTTGAGAATAAAGATTTGAAGGGATTCGCTTCATTGCATAAAAAGCTCATCGCCATTCATGACGAATTCAAAACATACGAGCGTTTCGTGAAGGCAGCAGAAAAGAAATTCCTCGATAAAATGTTCCCAAGAATGGCCAATTGCTACTTTTCTATACAATCTGGTATCTACAATTTGTGTGGACAAGCTAGAAAAGCAATCTATGATCATAAGGTTTTTAAAAATAAGGAAATCGAGAAAATAAGCGCAACAGCCAAAAAAAGTATTCTAGACAAACTTGATAAAGGTCTCGAATGGAAAAATAAGGATATTGCTTTCAGCCAAATGAAAGACTCAAACGAAAAACAATACCGTAAACACTATGACATCGTCAAGAAGCACCTTGATGCTATAGTTAATTATTTAAACCCTGAAGCCGAGTCCGAAGACAAAGATGATGAAGAATAAGTTTGTATTAGCATCTTTATATTTATATTCACTTGGACATAGGTTGGATAGATCGTTGATATATTGCTTATTTTATTATGTATACATATAAAATAATGACCCATGATATTTATTTTCCAAAACGGCTTATGATACACCCACATTCAATAATTAAACCAAATAATAACATTGTATTTTTAAACATTGCAAAGATGACAAAAAAATCCTACAAAAAAATAATTAAATTCACTGATATATCTAAAGCATTTGCGTTTTAAGTTGTAATTAGTTTTAACTTTTCAATTTTATATTCATATGATGGATTGCTATCAGTGAGTTGTTGCGGTCATAAAAATGGACCTTTTGCACAATTTAATACTTCTGAAAGTGAGTACGTCTAGAGACACGTAGATCGTTGCTTCTATTGAAATTGATACAAATAATTTGTCCATTACAGACACAAAATGCTCCAAATGTAATAAATGTGTGTACAATAATCGTGTATGACTGTAACGTGTGATATCTTTCTAATTGGCATACAATTTATACGCTTTGGTCGTAGAAACGTTTTAAAATAATTTTCTGCTTTTAATCGATGTTACGGTTATTTTCCAACCGGTCAGTGTCGTTAAATACAGTGAATACAATGGATTCAGCTGTTGTATCTGATTATTGTTCATTCAGTTCAAACACCAATATGAATTTGCTATTATTAGCGATTGCGTAATGTATTGATTTCTTTATTGCACCACTAAATTTTGGCATTGTGCATATTGAATGTAAGGTGAATGCTCGGAACACAAATGTGATACAAACAATGGGAAGAAAAACAAATTTCGATTATTTATTATGTGTATTCAGCACATCATGAAAATGAAATGAGAGAAACGCATGAGAGAACTGCATAATAGAAAAAAGTTTGCAGCTTAAACAAAATGATGACTTGTGGCATCGACATTTTAAAGCATTTCTGGTACATCGATTCCCCATAGAAGTTTCATTAAAACCAAACACTCTAACGCAAAACCATAATAGCCGCCGTGAGAGTTAGAGAGAGTGCGCTTACTCAATGTACTATATTCTCGTAATTATTCAGCAGGTTTATGAATTTAATTGTAGATTTCTGTTTTGTTGATGTGTTTATTAATGTGATACAATTTGGACGCGTTAATAATTGGTGCTATTTCGTTCAACACAATTTGCACACATAGTTCAACTCCCATTTTGATTGTCAATTTGTTGGGAAAATATCATGACAACTGAAAATGCACACTGACATTTCTGCAATACGGCCGTAAAGCGAACAATTAACATTCAAGCCATCTGGTCCAATTTAAATCAACCTATTTCGGGCTATGTGGTATTAAAATTGAAATTTGAACATATTCGTATCATCAACACATTTTTATCGAGCTCAGCTTACATCTCAAACCTTGCTTGCTCATTTCATCATTTTGAATCGTTTTCAATTTTTCTTCCTACGATTTATTCATTTTTTCCGAAAATTTGTCGATTTAAAATACATATGTGCAGTACATACTTCAAATGCCATCCACGCGCACACAAAATTGAAAATAACGAACTTTACTGTTACTTGTTTTGGTCATTTTAATAGTAGTATTTCCTCAATTCGATCACCGATTCCATTGGAAGTAGCCGTGGTAATTTGCAATTTCACCACCAGTTGGCATATTTATTATTACCGATATAATTTATGATAAATTTACACTTTATATATTGGGTGTATGCATTAATTTCCGGACTCAGACATCAGATGTCACCACTTGCTTGTGCGTTGTAGTAGATCAATGACATATACGTCATTTGAAAGGCCTATTCAAATACTGTCAAAATCAGTCAAAAGTGTTTCATTTGTTTGTGCGAATCCAGCATTAATCGATAAAAATGCATGTCAAACGCAAAAAGAACTTGCATTGGAATTAAATACTGACGTTTGCATGCCATGGGAAAGATTCGAAAGCTAGGAAAATGGGTACCACATCAACTGACTGAAAATCAACTCAAAGCACGAATCACAGCATGCAGAGAACATCTCAAAGAACACAAAAAACATAGTTTTTTGAGTCGAATTGTCACGGGCGATGAAAAGTGGGTCTATTACGACAACCCCAAACGTAAAGGAGCGTATGTTGATCCAGGCCAACCAGGACCATCGCAAACAAAACGAGACATTCATTGCCAGAAGGTTATGCTGTGCATTTGGTGGAATCAAAAAGGTGTCGTGTATTATGAGCTGCAAAAACCAGGTGAAACGGTTACAGCCCAACGCTAACGCATGCAATTAATCAAAATGGAGCATGCATTGAAGATTAAACGGCCACGGATAGCGTCTAAACAAGACAAAGTTGTGTTTCACGATGAAATGCCAGGCCACATCGAGCAGACATCATTAAAAAAAAGTACAAGACTTCGGTTGGGATCGGCTTGATCAACCTGCGTACTCTCCAGACCTTGCTCCTTCTGACTACCACTTGTTTCGATCGATGCAAATGGGTTTGTCCGAGATATCGTTTCGAAATCCTGAAGGAGTGCGAAAATGGATCGATGAATGCGGATAGCCTCAAAAGATGAGGAATTCTTTCGACGCGGAATTGACAAGCTACCAAGAAGATGGGCCGAAGTCATAGCTAACGATGGGCAATACATTGGTTAATGTACTCATTCTTATTGTTAGTAAATAAAGTTTGTTTTTCACCAAAAAAATCCGGAAATTAATGCATACACCCAATATATAATTTGTGTGTGATGATAAATTTACATCCCGATTTGAGATGGCACTTGATCCTATACATTCTCTTTCTTACTCTCTTTCAAAATACTATTTCTCAGTACCCATAATACACGAAAACTCATTCAGAATATGTAGACAATTGAAGCACAATATGTTATGTGTTTTCCTTTTTTATATTTATTTTCATTTTTGTAAAAAAAGAGAACGCATTCGATTACTTCAAACTGGATGATTTTGCAAGTCGATGAATACGAACAAATAAACGTTTTAATACAAACAAAATAACTCTGCTTGCACAGAGCATTCAAAATGATTGAATTCCAAGTTCAGTTCAAGTGGCGGAGAATTTCATTTCGATAATGGATAAGAAAAAACAACGGAAAAAAGAGAGATTTTTACATAAATATGTAAGATACAAACAAATGAGAATTATGTAATAATTGTGCATAGCAATATCGGGGGCGGAATTCTATTAAATTTTCACATTTGGAGAATTTTCTTTGCGTTTGCATATCGAGTTGTGTACAATTGTTTTCACCAGTGTATGACAACGACTTCATTGAAATTGTTTTTAATTCACATTTAATTTGAATTGAAGTAGCGTATGTGATATGATGAGCAACGCAAAACCTAAATGAAATAGAATTTTTCATAATTCAGAAACAGGAGAGAACAAAAAAATCCAATCATAAGAGATGAACGATTCCAATTTGAAATTAAATTATTCAAAATTCCGGTGGTTGGTTCAGCTAACCGAAACTTATGCGTGTACGTGGTGGTCGATGATTGAATGCATAGATATTTAAGTGTGCGTATGTGTGTGTAGCCACGTGTGATTTTGCATACGCAAGTTGTTCAATGCGACAGGAAACATACACAAAAACGCACGTTCATCAACACACATACACACTCACCGACACACACACACACACACCGTTACAGATCCAAAACACAGCATCAACCCATGTTAGATAAATATTATGCCATTTTAGTGGAGTTAAGTTGTAATAAATTATGTGTCAGTTCTTGTTTTTTTCGACCTTTTACCTTCTCAAATGCATTTACATTCGCAAACCACAAGTATGTGTGTCAGCCATCTTTCTCATCGGTATCTCGGAATCCGGATCGGTTTCAAAATAGCTTAAAAGATACATTTACACCCTCAAATAAATGAAGCAAGTAAGAGAATGAGAGCGAAAGACAGAGACATAGAGCGAATGTCTCACATCTAAATACAGACAAACATTTACAATGACACATTCATTCAGCCATAAATATTTTGTATTACGTTTTTTTTTGGTTAGGAATGTATGCGGTACAAATACTGCTCGAACATTTTTATACGTATAATCATCGACCTCTATTAATGCAAACTCTTCACACATTTTCTCTATCTATTCATCTATCTCTTCTCCGTTTCTCTCTTTGTTTGTATAGCACAAATAAGGAATCGAGTTAAATGGAGAATCTGTCTATGCTGTGAATATACCTTGGAATATATCCATGGAAACGAATCGTTTAACACAATCCGAAAATGAGACCATATGACGAAATTAAAACCAAAAACGAACGGAATGGGGCGAACTGTGTGTATGATGACAGATAGAGATGCAAAAAGAATGACACCCATGCCTGATTATAAATTCGCATACGTTGTATATGCATCCACATCCACATCCATTCGACTGAATTTTCAAGTTTTTTTTGTTTGCCGTTCCGTCAGAAAAATAACCATTTTCTGTTTTTAAAGCATTCATCTGGCTCATCGTTATCGTCACGCACGGATAACTAGCATCATTTATACCATCTCTATTTCATTTGATGTGACCACTCGCATTCTCTATCATTTCGTTTATGTTTTATTTTCATTTATGTGTGGTAAACGTCATGCTTTTTAATCTCAACACACTTTTCTTTCATATCGCATAAAGACTTTTTGGGTGACATTTGTAATTATTTTATTTTAACGAAATTTCTGATGTCCATCCATGGCTATTTGTTTATTTGTTAATTGTAGATAAAAAAAATGTTCGGATTGTTCGTACAATAAACACGCTCACATACGGGAGCTGGAGTCGCACAAACTTTGAAAGGAAGTATGAGACAAGGAAGTCAAATGAGCTTTTCTGCATGTTTTTTCCGTTACGTTATACAATCCAAATCATGCATAAACATATCCGTAAGTGTATGTGTGTCCATTGTGTTTTGTGTGTTTTTGAACCCACACTATCGGACAGTTACTGTTCAGAAGTCAACTTTTTCGAATCGTTTGCAAATTTATCGAATAATTAGTGAAAATTTGTGACGGCATTTTGAATCACCAGGAAAAAATGCAGTATTCTATCCATTTGTGTTTTCCAAATATGTCTCTAGATTTTCGCTCCGACATCTCGCCATCATGTTGCGAACAAAAATAATGAACATTTGCACTTAATGAATTTTTATGAAAATTTTCCGTAATTTTCAATTATTTGTCAAAAAGTCACACGAACAGTAGTGTATATTTAAGAA